CCAAAGAATATGTGATAATTAATATGGAAGATTTTATTTAAAGAATATAAAGTATATGTGAGAATATCTTTTTTTTCAATGACTATTAGATTTTTTTGAGATGCATTATATTCAAAAAAAAATTCATGATTTTTTTAATATATGGGAGAAATTAAAAATAACAAAGATATATCTCTAGTATAGATAAATATATTTATCTTACACAATTTAATTTGCATGATACTTAGATAAAAGGTAAAAAAAATTTTAGAAATGCTACTTTCAAAAATGTCATCATTTTGAAAATTTCTTTAAAATGCCACTAATCCTCTATATATTAATTGAATAGACAATTGGTGAAAAAATCATATGTATTATTCAATGAAGGTTTTAAGTAATATATCATTTAAATTAACTAATAAAAATATTTTAATTAAAAATATATACCATGGTGAAAATCTCTATATGTTTTTATTAATTTTATAACATAAACCCCATTAATATATATTTTACAGAATTAAGTTTAACTAAATGTAATATTTAGACTTACTATATCATCTTTTTTTAAATGATATATTAAAAAGCTTTTTATTATTATATTTCTAACAATATTATTTATTTGTAGATGATAACTACATTTATAATTATTTTTCCATTTATTATTAGAAAAGATATAATTTTTGTTTGTTACGTCTTCACAAATTTATATAAATCTAAAATTTATTTGATTTATCGCATACTCTACAATTTTACACAAATAACAAAACTCAATTCGACATTTCAAATAAATTGAAATATATAACATTTGCATTAGTTTAAATATTTTTATGCAAAATTGATCAAAGCATATGACATTGAAATATGTTTAGTAAAAATTTAGTTTTATTACATTTATGCACAATACATATCATTTTGTATGTTTAGAAATATTAGAATACACGTCTAAATATTAAGATTGATTAGATCATATATTTAAATATTTAATCTCATACTTGGCGTGAATCAAAATCTAGTATTTATGTATTCAACAAAACAAAAGTTGAAATCGGAAACTACAGTCCGTAAAAAAATTATACTATTATTATTACAATACCTCCACATGGTTTTGAATCTTTAATGAATTTCTAAATGAATGTATTTTTAAAGTTTTCATTTAATAACTAGAGAATAGTCTTGCGTACAAAATTGAATAATTTTTCCTAAAGGACGAAATTTTTGATTTTAAATTCAAACTATATATGATCCACAGCTAATTGCATATGACATCCAACATTTATCGTACTAATTCGTTTTTAAAAGTTTTAATATACTGATACATAAAGTACTTTTTGGATCACGTAGCTGAATTATTATTATTTTCTTTACATGACGTTTCAATTTTTATCTGACACATCTTATTCTCGGAATGAAGTATATAAGAAAACAAGGAAGAAAGATACTTTATCAAAAACAAAAGAAAAATATTCTAAAATAGTTTTGGATTTTCATAATCGTACAAAAATATATAGAAAATGATAATAATGCTATATGTCCATTTAAATTAGGTTCAAGTTGCTTTCAGAACACAAACTCTACCTCGCTCCTAGTTTATTGGCTCATAAAAAACATATCTGATTTAGACAAACAAATTAAATAAATTTTCATAAAGGTTTCACCAAGACCAAATTGATTTTCCTAATTTTAGTGATTAGTGTGACTTGTAATTATTTTTAGCAGAGAAAGAAAATAGAATAAAAAAATAGCCTCAATTTTGCTTAAATAACCAAATCAAGAAGAAAGTAAGATAAAAAAAACTATCTACTGCCAA